CCACCGCTCTGCACCGCCGCCTGGCTTACCTCGTGCGCAGGGCGCGTCCCCCTGCCCCGCCAACTCTGTCGTGGACCTCTCCACTACTGTCTTGATCGGCAACACCATCCTCAAGGCCGCCGCCGGCGGCAACGTGAGCTGCAAGGCCTGCGCCGCCGGCAGCGAGGCCGGGCTGGGAGCCCTCAAGTGCATGCTGTGCGCGCCCGGCTACGCGCGCGCGAGCAACCAGGCGGCCTGCAAGAAGTGCGCCGCGGGCAGCTACGCGGGCAGCTTTGGTTCAAAGGCGTGCGTGGTGAGTGCTAAACAAGGGCCGCACCGACACCAACTCGAGCGGCCCGAGGGCGGCGCCGGTCGCGGGTTGCGGACATGGCAGCGCATTTTGGCAGGCGGTACAGGGCGGGCGCGCGCGAACTCGGGCCCGAAGCTGTGTGCGGCTTTGGCGATGCCGGTCCCTGACGCACGCGGCCGACACCCCCCCGTGCCGCACGCCTGCCCCTGCCCTCACTTTGACAGCCCTGTCCGGCCGGCAGCTTTGCCCCCATCAGCGGCGCGTTCGCTTGCATAAAGGTGCGGACAGGGGCATTCATTGGCGAGTCGCAGTGCTGATCGTGATCGGGGGGCTGCTGCCTTGCTCGCCGGATATCCAGACCGCCTCAACTGACAGCGCCTGTCATCGACAGCCCGACTGCCGCCCTGCTAGATACCCATGTCAGCCGCCTAGCGCCCGCCGATCCTCAGCATCTGACGAAGGTCGTCCATGCGCCGGCCCCCTTCCCACCCCCGAGCAGTGTCCCCTGGGCTTCAAGGCGGCGGCCGCGGGCGCCACGAAATGCACGTTTGTTGGCTACTAGCCCGCGGTCGTCCTGCAGCGGCGTGGGCGTGAGGGCCGACTCCTCCTCGTCGGCCGAGGCAGCCATCATGCATGCAGCCAGCATCAGGGCCCACTGCCTTGGTAGCTTATCGCTGCCCGCCCCGAGGTTGCGTTGCTCACAAGTAACTGGCCCCTTTGGCCGCCCATCTGCATGATACGCTCCGTCGTCTTTGGCACCTGCGCTGCACAAGCGCTGCATTCCCAGCTTGTCTGCTTGGGTTGATCGCCAAACTGCTGTAACCCCTAAGCAGAATCCAGCGGATGGATGGCCGGCTGATGTCGCGCCCCGGGGGCGGGGCAATGGGAATTCATGCATTCACATAATAGGGGCGCTGGCGCTGTAGCAAGGGGAAGTGCGGCCTGGCGCTGCACAGGTGGGGGCGTCGAGTGGGCGGGTGAAGGGCAGAAAGCGCTGCACGCATAGCGATGGGGGGAGTCTTGGATACTGCTTGCTGTGGATATTGCTGGGTGACTTACTGAATGGAGTTGTGCAGTTACAGAGTTTGTGTTTTGCAAGATTCTAAAATTCACGGTGGCTATTCCAGCATCTGTGAATGTCACATTGAAAGTCAGCAGTACATAACTTGCCCAGCTAGACTTAGAAACTAAAATAGCACAAACACATACAGCTGCAATCAAAGAGCATCTTGCCACAATTCTCAGCTGCTGGCGTGTGGCGCCGCACACCACAACACTGGTTCTGCACAAACTGTAGCCCCCTAACCAGGCTCGTGCCCCCAAACCAGGCGCGTCCAGCAGGCCTACCCCTGCATTCCAACACACCCTAACCTCAGAGCGCCCGCCAGGCCAGCCGCCTCTCCACCGCCCCCTCATCCGCCCCCTCTTCCGCCTCCCCATCCGCGGCGTTGACATCACCCTCCGCGTCCGCGTCCCCGTCGGCGCCGGCGTCGGCGCCCGCGTCTTCGTCCGCCGCGGCGTCGGCGTCGGCGCTGTCCGCGCCCTCGGAATCCCCGTCCGCTGTGGCGTCTTCCTCTGCAGTGTCGGTGCCGACGTCGGCGTCTGCAGAGTCCTCGGCACCGGCGTCGGCGCCGTCACTGCTATCCTCATCGTCCGCTGCAGCGTCGGCGTCGTCCGCGCCGCCGCCGGCCTCTTCGTCCGCTTCAGCTTCGGCGCCGTCCGCGCCGCTGTCGCCGTCGCCTTCGCCGCCCTCGTCCGCTGCAGAGTCAACGTCATCAGCGCCGCCGCCGCCCTCCTCGTCTGCAGCAGCATCTGCATCCTCCTCGCCTCCGTCGCCGCCGCCCTCCTCGTCCGCTGCAGCATCGGCGTCGTCCTCGCCGCCGGCCGCCGTCTCCCCGTCATCATCGGCCTCCGCGCCCTCCTCAGCATCAGCCTCCGCCTCGGCACCGCCGTCCTCGCCGCCCGCGTCGGCGTCCGCACCTCCGTCGGCGCCCTCGCCGCCCCCTTCCGCCCCAGAGGCATCCTCTTCGTCGTATGCATCCGCCTCGGCGCCCCCCTCTCCGGCCCCGGCCTCTGCATCGCCGTCCCCGTCCGCGTCGGCGTCCCCCGCCGCGCCCTTCTCCTCTTCCTCCTCGGCTGCGTCGGCGTCCGCGTCGGCGTCGCCGCTGTCTTCATTGTATGGCTCTGCCTCCTCGGCGCCCCCATCCCCCTCGCCGCCCCCCGCGTCCCCCTCTGCAGCTTCCTCCTCGTCCGCCTCATCCGCCCCACTACCCTCGCCACCCCCTTCCGCCGCGTCCTTACCGCCGCCGTCCTCCTCGCCGCCCTCATCAGCCCCCTCCTCCGCCACCTCGGTGCCGCCGTCCTCCTTGCTGTCCTCTTCATCCCCTTCGGCCTCCTTCTCCCCGCCGCCGTCCTGTTTGCTGCCCTCTTCATCCCCCTCCGCCGCCGCCTCGGCCTCCTCGCCGCCCTCCTCCTCCTCCCCCTCGGCCTGCTCCCCTTCGCCAGGCCTGTCGCTCGCGGCGGGCGGCGTCTGCACGAGCTGGTCCCCGTTCCTCTGCTCGTTGTACCTGCAAACGAGCGCACGCGATGAGCGCGCGGCGCGGAATGGAAGGGCGGCATTCGGGAGGAAGTGGCGGCGTGGGGCAGCATGGCGTTGGCTCGTGGCCGGTGGTGGTGCGCACGACGCAGAACTGCGCGAATGCGGGCGCGCACGCATATGTGGGGCGTTGGGTGCAGGATCAAGAAAAACGCGACAATGCATCCCACCCTTCCCTTGCAAACACACACACACACACACACACACACACACACACACACACACACACACACACACACACACACACACACACACACACACACACTCTCTCTCTCTCTCT